TGAGGACAAACCTCTAAAGATCCCCAAGGAGGTGTGGATTCTGGTCAACCACCTCTTCACCAAGTCCTGTGATCAGGTGAGACGCCACCAACTAATAACACAGTTGTAAAAATGGTTGAAATGGTAAAACTGCTGAACTGTGAATGAGAGGGATGTAGTTTTTGGCTGAATGCAATGATGTCATGAATTGAAAGTAGTTGTTCACAGCGGTTTTCAACTACGTCCTCAGTTTCACACATTGACCATACAAAGTCCAGCCATATACTAGGTTTTGTCTTCTTTGAGTAATTGTTGTGATGTTAAGTTGACTTTTGTAACTTTTAAGCAAGTGATATAGTACCTGTCTGAGCTTTCATGTTTTCTTCAGAGGAGTAATACATATGAATACCGCCTATTGTGTAATATATTTTTATATTTTCTAGTATTTTTCACACAAGTACTTTTGAGTACATGCTATGATAATATTTTTAAAATGCCTATTGGTGCTTTTAGAGGCCAAGAGGTTTAGTGGATAGATGAAATTACTGTAATACTTAAAATCCCACATAGTCTAGTCTTATATCATAATACCAGCTTTATAATCCATGTACTTATATTGTGCAACCTGTTGCACCTTTATGTTGTGACACTTCAGGTGTGTTCAGGAATAAAAGTGAAGGGAGTTTTTGTTTTGTATCATTCATGCAAATTTGACCGCTGGATCATTTGTGCAGCCTGTGGTGATTTGCCTCAAACAGCTGATGTACCGGTTTCCCTCCTGACTCTCATTTTACCTCTTGTCTCTGCATGTTCACGAAGAAGATCAATAAAGGCCTGGAATACAGGCACATTTTTTTTCACCTGAGTTGATAACATTTTCACACTGCCCTGGGCAAATTTGAATTTAATGGCATTGTTCCATTAACTTTTCATGTAATTGCACCGCCTCTAAAACTCGCCTCACTTTGTGTCTGCACACATGTTAGATGGGTACTTGTGAGAACTGTTTTAAATGTTCCACATTTGTCTTTGTATGTCTCTCAGGAGGACCTGTTCCAGACACCAGGGTTACAGGAAGAGCTGCAGAGCATCATCGACTGTCTGGACACCAGCATCCCAGACACCATCCGTATCCTTGTTTATGAAGCCAGTCACTGGCCCACATTTCACCAAGACCCAGTCTGGCAATCACTGCAAATAAAATAACATCATACATTCATCAAACTTACTCAGTGGACTCATGGACCCTGTTGTGTCTTGGTCATTAGAATGAGTTGGTGATGATAACAGTAATAATAATAATAATGGTCAGGTGACACTGTGATGTCCACATTGAGTGAAAAGGGTTATTTTAGATTAGTTTGTTAGGCTTTGAAGATGATCAGATGGGAAATTTGTGGTGCAAGGCACACGTCCAGCTCCATGTTTGCTTATTCTTCCCTAACTCATCACGTAGCTGGTTGTAACCACTCTGTAGCTGAGGCTCTGTTGATCTTCTTGGAGGCCTTGCCGGAGCCAGTGGTGTGTTATGAGCTCTACCAAAGGTGCCTAGACTGCGCTCATGACAGCCGCCTCTGCAAACAGGTACAGTGATCACTAGTTGTTTGTGTTTAGACTGCAAAATATGACGTATAGCAAATTAGGAAGTGTGTGAATTGTGTGAATGCAGGGTTGCAAATTTTTCTATATGACTAATCTGTCTGCACTTTGATGAATTACAGTTGATCTCCCAGTTGCCCCGGGCTCACCGCAACGTGTTTCGCTACTTAATGGCCTTTCTAAAGGAGCTTCTCAAGCACTCACACAACAACAACCTAACAGCCAGCCTCATAGGTATGACATAGACAGCTCCTATCTTATGGTTACCATACGTTGGTGCTTAGTAAACAGTTTAGTTAATTAGTTATCAAGTATGTTTAGTATTTAATATATTTAGCCTACAGCCTGACTGTACCAGATTTTTCTTTTAGACCTATTCCGATGTGGATGCTGTAATGTTTAAAAATAATCATCATAATAATAATCCAATAATGGCAGCTTTTTGATACAGATTTCTTTTTTTAGAGATGTGTGACCATTAAATTTACGTAGCATGACTTTAACTGTAAAAAAAGTTCTGAAATGGTGCCCAGCCGCAACTGTCCTCTTCACCTTAAATACATTCACAGGCAAAAGATAATGGAATTTAATTAACCTGCCTTTAAGGGTCACCACTAAGTAGTAGCAGCGTTGTGGAAGATACAGTTGGTATTTTAGAGCATTACTTAATCTTATGTTCTGGCAGTCGGGCATTTTACCCGGCATCTTTATGGTAGCCATCCCACTAAATATTCTACTAATGCGACATGAATGTTTACTGAATGTTGAACTGCTCATATCGACACTACTGATCAGAGAGCATGTGCTATTGTTTTCATGTGTGAGACAAAGTTAAAAAAAGTCTTTTTATATGTAGTTAAGCATTTTTCTTCTTGTATTTTAGCTACCCTCTTTGCAAGCCTCCTTATCCGTCCACCTCCCAACCTGGTGGGCAGGCAGACATCGCACGAGCGGCAGAAAGCCATCGACTTCATTCTGGGTTTCCTCATGGCGGGAGACGAGGAGTAAGCGAGGTCAAGGGACCTTCACGGCATCAGTCGGGTTCGGAATTTCATTCCCAACCTGGCCCAATTTTGGCACAAGACCTGGACCTGTAGGACACTGTAACATGATCCACTTGGTATTTTGTCATCTTTTGGAGACCAATGCAACTGTTCTGCACCCTACCTGTCACAAATTCTCATGATAGCGGTACCCCAGACTTGAATTAGAACTGTGATGATTTTGCCAAGTGTCATATCTTCATTAATAGTATGACCGCTCACTGGATTTGGGAGCACTTGGCAGAGGTTTGGACCGATGCCTATGCACTTTCTGATGACCTAAAGGACCTGTGCCTCGAGACTAGAGTTGTCCTTGTCCTCAGCTGACCCTCCTTATTGTAGGTGCTCATGCCAAAACAACCCCTGAACAGTGAGTGGTATGAATGTGAAAACACTATGTATCCGTAGATACTAAGAAAAAGACTCAGTTACACTAAAGAAAAGGAAACTCCTGATGTTTGATGAAGTAGACTGAATACAAGTATACTATTGAAATCATTAAATAGTTTGAAATGGGTTAATTGTTAAAAACTGTCACTAAGAATGTTTAAGCTTAAGATAAATCATGACAATCATTCATTTTGCAGCATTTTAGTTGAGGGGGACAACGTTAAGATATCTGAAAGAATTATTTCTTATGTTCATTGTACTTTAACTGTTATTTATATATTTTTTTTTCTTTCAAGTTTGCACCACCTGAACAGTTTTTGTTTCATATTACCGTATGGTTTATTTTCAGCTCTGCATTGTTTTAAAAACGTTTTCATTGGAAATATTCATCAGTTGTTTTTATCATCCTGTTATAGAAAACTCTTTGTCGTGAGTGTGTGCTGTGTTTTTGTGTAACTTCAGCCGTGAGCCTTACATCTCGTTTTGCTAGTTCCTCTTGAGTTACAAAACAAGTCTGTTAACACACTAACTTCCTGGTCAACCAGAATCGAGTGAAGAGTCACCCTCTGTGGTTCTCGATGTCTTAAATGGTGTAAATACTGCAGTGATCGTTACATGGGTATTTGACTGTTGGTATGGTGGTGCAAATCTGTGATGGTGTCTACAGTCTGTCATGTTTGTCATGAAAGTGGTAATGTTAATGTCTGTGTTTGTTTACTTGTCTTTTTCCTCACTTCTGCCTCATCTGAAAGCTCATTATTCATCGTTTTACGCCTGTGTGATGCCAAGACACAGCCGTTGTGTTCCTTATAGTAAATCCAGATGAGTAATACTTATTTTAAGTGATGCAGCATTTTCTGGGTGCAAGATTTAATGGCTCATTACTCTGCAGGATACAGCCTGTCTGTGCAACTTTCTCATTTGTGCCACAGAGGTTTTATTTTTTTCCCCGAGTCACTGTTGCAAAACATGTTATGGTTATTGAAATAAGGAACTTCTGTGCTGTGTAGAATGAACAGTATTTCCTATTTAACAGTTTTTCCCAGTAGATGTCAGCATTAGCTTTCACAGTTGACAAGAATATTCACATTTATGAAAGTGATTTACTTTGCTCAGTATCTCCTGCAGTGTAGTAATGCTGGAAAACCCCAGAGATTTTCTCCTCAGATGCTCCAGGAACTTCAAAATATTTTATCGTTGGACACAATGTGAGCACATGACATAATGTGACAACACTGACAATCACGGCACTAAAAAGGATAAGCCTGTTGGCCTGAGTTGTTCCTTTCTTGCATAGTTTATTCTGCCTTATTGCCATCGGAGCACTAGATTCTTCTGTTGGCCTTAACTGAAATGAGCTTTGCCAAAATGTGGCTTGGGCCTGAAGGAATAGTTCCTGGTGATTCAGATGTGGGAGAACCATTATACAATAGCATTTAGTTATTCACTTTTGTCTGTAGAAATATTACCCTCATCATGTCAAACAGAAAAATCAGTATAATCAATAACCTCTGATTTTAAGTGTTGTCTTATGCCACCGTACCAACTGATGTATTTGTGTGGATTCATTGTGCTTTTTGTCTTCAGTTTCTGTTCAGAAAAATTAAGGTACATTTAAAGGTACGCAAGGAAACACTTGCTCCTGTTTTCAACTTTGCAGATTTTTTGGTACTTTTAATTTATTTAACAGAAATAAAACTATGTATAAAGTTCTTTTGTGTTTCTGTTCAACATAAATTTGTGGGAATCTTGTTTACCTCTTAATTTTAAGAAGAACAACAACAACTGTACACTGGATTTCGGGGCTCGTTCCTCATGTGCATGTGAAATCGTTACTGGCTGATGTTCACACTATACTTAGTCTCCTCAGTGGCCGCTGAGAGATCTTTCACCTCACTGCTACATTCTCATTCACTGTGAATATAAAACTCCCACCATGGTCCCGCTGTCTCTGTTTGCCTGTAGCCCAGTTTGAAGCCGTCCGAAGTCATGGCCATGCTCAGAGTGTCTTCTTACCGCAAGCTGTTTGAGGATGATAACCGGAGTCGAAATGGAGGCTTGGGTATGCAGTGTGCAGAGCAGTACCGGGCCTCTGTCAGGTCAGTCTGGGTTTCTGAGGGGCGACTTATTTTGATCTAGACTTAACAAATTTAAGATATTAAGATGTTAGTGACAAGTTCAAGTGTCGTTCCGCTTAGAAATATGTAGATTTTAAGATGTGTTTGACCAAGTCAAGTTCGTGAATCTGGGACGGGTCGTGATTCTTAAGGTTTACATGTACTTAAAGCTGTTTGCTCCTAAAGGGGTCACACTTTGCTTTAACTAAGCCACTTTACAGCATACAATCATATAATACATTTTTATAACACTATAATGTAGTTGTAAGCTGGTGGAAGTTTCTGTCTGTACCCATAAGTGGGGTATAAAAAGATAATTACAATATAAAAACAGTTGTAATAATAATACGACATATTAATAAACTAAAATGATATTGTGTGCTAAGAGGAACATTAGAAATCACTTAATAGATGTTTAAATAGTACTTATAAATCCTAAGTAGGAGTGGCTAAAGTAAAGTGTTAGCTATGAGAGACAGTTTGAGTGGTGATGACAAATGCCTTTTGTGCTCATGGAAAAAATATGTCATCAATGTGTTCATTTCCTGTCATGGGCAGGGCAGAAATACTTTTTGTTTTAGTTCATTTGTAATGAATGCATGACTCTCTTCTGTGTGCATACTTGAAGCTGGGTCAAATAATCTCCTCTTGGGTCCTCCAAAATATTCAGTGCAGTCCTTGGTCCTTTGTGTCCTTCTCTCAGGGGTGCGGCCGCTGATGACTGTGACTGTGACAAGTTAGACTTCGCAGCTGCCAAGTCTCTCAACAAGGAGGGTCTGAACCAGTTTGCCCAGGACCGCACCATCATCGCTGCCCTTAATGACCGCCTGGTCAGGCTTATTGAACTGGTGAGGACAAACGGTACTCCTGCTCCCAGTGACACATCAGCACTTTATTTCCCCTCTGCTGCGTCATGCCTTTGTTCTTGGTAAATGATGCAGTGAATCTTTATATATTTATACATGTACCTGACTTTTTCCTGTTCTCTGTGTCCTGTAGGCCCACTGTTTTGAGAAAGACAATGAGTCTCTTGAATGTCAGATTGTGGAACTAGAGGAGAAGCTGAACAGTCAACGAGCCTCCTCCAGCATCACCTCCGCTGTGGCTCCACCTGACTACAGCCTGGATGCAGTGGTGGAAAGACTGCGCAAGGAGAGGGTAGGGTGCTGCTGCTGCTGCTGCTGCTGCTGCTGGGTGTGTCTGCTGCATGTTTCTCTGTGTGATGACATGCCTAAGTGAAGTTTTCCTAGACAGTCCATTGCACGTCTCGTCCTATCTCATACATTTTGCTTCAGTTTGTACAGTGACAGGCAGCCCTGATTTATAACCTTGTCAAGATCCATCACCGTCTTCACTGCGTCTCCCTGCAGGATGAGATTCTGTGTGACACTGAGGAGCTGCAGAAACAGCTTGAATGTTTGAAGAAAGGCTACGAGGCGGCTGCACAGCAGAGGATCTTCCTCCAGCAAGAACGACAAGATGTTGCTGAGGTAATAGTTGTCAACACAATACCAACCGTACCTGGCAGCTTGTTACAAGAAGACAACTGAAATGTTAGTGGAAGCCAGGGCTGGAAGAAAGCTGTGAGGAAGGTAGAAGCAAATATAACAAAGAATGTTAACAACCTCCAGAGTTTTATGCTTTTCGATGTATTGTAAAGTGAAAAACAAAGTGCGACAGGTTTTTCACTTTACAATAAGGATTAACCCTTCAGTTATAGATCATAGGAGGTCAATAGCACTGAACACTTTCTAGCTTTCATATTTACTCAAACAATCGAGTTATAATTCATCCTTGGTGATTATGCTTTCGGTAATAATGGTGGTACAACAAAAAAACAGAGAAGAAATGAAATCCAGGGCCAAAAAAAGAAGAAGCCTGCCAAGCAGTGGCTTCCGCTCCTTAAGCTTATGTATAGTAAAAACTGAAACTCAGATGAGATATCATTGGCCTGTTGTAGTTGTAATTAGAACAACAATGTTTTAATGCAGGTTTGATTCTTATATGATGAAGTTTAGATATAAAGTTCAAAATGGTGATGTTTAAGTTGAAAATAGGGTTAGACAAAGTAATTATGATAACAGTGTTAATAAAGATAAATCAATTAGTCAATAAAAAATTAGGTTATTTGTAATAAGTTATAACCAGAGGTATGCTTGTACTGTACGTTATCAGGCCTTTGCTGTGATAATGTACTTTAAGCACTAGATGGCAGTGTTGTCAAACGTCTCCCTGCTCCTTCTCCCCTCGGCCTCTCAGTGAATCAGCTGAAACTCGGCACAGCTGCTCCTCTGTAGCGCTACCCAATGGGTGTTGATCACCAGCAGTCACACAGTCTGGGCTGGTGGCCCACTGCAACCTGAGCCATCAACTTTTTCAAACCCCCTCCCCTCCCTCACTCATGCCAGAGGCCATCTCCTCTCGGCTGGACCAGATGCGAGGGAGGCTTTAATTTCTCCCTTACAGATGTAATGCAGGCTGTAATTCGGTGCCGTAATGTTCCTGCTGGCTCAGTTCTCTGGTTCTGAATTGGAAGCAGCTGCAGAGTGACAACACTTGGTGGGGAATCAGTAGGGAGGTAGAGGAACAGCAGAGATGCGGAGGAGAGGAGCGAATACTACACAGCTCAACCCACAACTAGCTGCAGTTCTCTCAACATAATGGTCGACTGACAGTAATGAAACAAGGCACGTTTGGTTTATTTTGAAGTATACTACTGGCTATTGTGTTGCTTTCCTCCTGCCAATTCTTCTCCGTTTTCAGGGCCCACAAATATCCTCTCTTCATTGTCTCACTGTGATTTTCTTACATGGCCAGATGTTGGGAGCTGTGGTAAAACACACAACAAGTGAACTGAGTTAAACACTTCACCGGCATTGAAATACAAATACAAAAGAGTGGATGAATGAAGAGGCCAGCTATTTTTACATGTATTAAGTGCAGGTCTTGAAGGTGAAAAAAATTGGTCACACACACACGAAAAAAAAACTTTTAGGCAGAAAAAAGGAGAAAAAATGAATCAAAAGCCTTTACTTAGTCAAGCATATTAGTTAAAATGTCGACCAGTTTTAACCTCACAAGCCAGAAAAACAGATGGACACTGGATTTTGAAAAGTTGATGAACCTTAAAGCTGCAGCCATCAATATTTTTGTTAAAAATGAATCAAATGACAAGGTATAGTGCGAAAGGAGTTTCTCATAGTGACGAACCCACAGAGAATTATCATCCGAATCTGCAGCTCCTTTCAGCTCTGTGATGCTTTAAAACATTGTTCAGCTCATCGATTTGGTTTCAACCTGCAGCTCTACCATTTTCCACTGTCACAACGTGGAGCATTTAGCATTTAGCATTTAGCAGCTAAAGAGTCAAATATATCCCTCAGGAGTTGGTGGAAACCAAAACAGAGCTAAAAGGAGAGTATTAAATATTGCACTTACGTTTGAGAGGTGGACAGAAACACGACACCAAATCAATACTAATCTCGCTCTCTGGGATGTTAAAAAATAGGCAACTGTAACAATTTGCTTGCCAAATTAACTTTATAAAGTGTAAACAGCTTGTTCTGTTGTCCCTAAGTGGCCAAAAAACTAATACTGCTTTAAAGTTGTACAGAATGTGATTTACAACAAGTTTCTCTCCAGCTGCTGATTGATATTTGAACACAGGCAGCAGCAGGGACTTTTGCCCGCTGCTGTCCATCAGGGACCCTGCCACCCTCCCAGCAAGGCTCCACAACTTCACCACCAAACCCTCCCTGTGTGTGTCCAAATGTAAATGCAGGCACCCACAGTAATTGCATCCAATGCCAATTTATCTGGTTCTTTAAAAAGAGTAGATGAGCAGAGAACCCCTGCCGGCGAATGGATTGGTGGACAGGGCTTTTGTGTCTACTTAGCCTCCGTCTCATCTTCCTCCTCCTCCTCCTCCTCCTCCTCCCCCTTCCTCTGCATTGCGGCGTCTTCTTGCTGTTCAGTGAAACAGGGTAGATGTGCTGGTGCTGATAGTTTTTAAAATGGGTGTTCAGGGTGGAAACAAAAGCCTTTTCCACTTTATTTCAACCTGTGGTGTGATTTACTTCCCAAACTGCTTAGTGCTCCTCTCAGACACCTCCACAAATTAAGTTGAACTTCTTTACTTTCAGCCCTGTTCTCTGGTAACTTGATTTTCTTCTCAGGAAGTGGATGCTGTGACAGCAGAGTGTTTGGCGCTGAGGGAGCAAGTGGCTATCTACAAGGAGCAGCTGGCCAACATGGAGGCCCAGCACAAGACGGTGAGAGGGAGAGAAGATATATAGCCGCAGTGTGATGAAACAGGGAACAGTTTATGGCCTTAAAATGACTCTAAATGTAGCACTTAGGTCAAACAGGAGTGTTGGAGAAATGCCCAGACCTGTGGTGACAAACACAACTGTGATGACCCCAGTCACCTTGCTGAAGAGTTGTAGTCGGACATGTCAACAGGAACATATGGGGAGAGGATTAAAGCACAAAATATAGTAGTAAACCGTGCAACAAGTCAGAATTAAACCCTTTTTAATGTTTGTGTTCAACTGGGTCCTTATCCCAGTCTCTTAGAGGAGTAGTAAGACATTTGTGGAAGAACTCTTATTTGCTTTCTGACAGAGTTAGATGTGAAGGTCAACACTGCTCTCATGTCTGTGTGCTTAATATGAAGCTACAGCCAGCAGACAGTTAGCTTAGCTTAGCATCAAGACTGGAAACAGGAGAAAATAGCTAGCCTGGCTCTATCCAAAGGTAATAAAATGTGCGTACTTGCACAATTAGAGCACACTGAATAACACATTATATCATGTTTGTTTAATTCATACAGAAACTGAGGGGGTTGTGTGCTGGACTATGTCTTGGCTGGAAGTTACTGCTTCCAGCCAAGAAGAAGTCCAACACAGAACCCACCATAAAGCCACAAATGTTTTAAAATAGGGTTTTTATAAGGATAAAAACAAACAAGGTGTGACATGATCATGACTGAGTTTTAGTTTTGACGGAGCCAGGCCAGCTGTTTCCAGTCTTTATGCTATGCTAAGATGGCTGTCTGCGGGAAACAGACAGAATGCTGAGTGAATTTTAGACATGGCGCGAATCCATACACAGTCAATGAAAAGTTGCAAATTGACAAGAAAATGTGTCCATGCAAGATGTTTCAGCTTCGCATGTATCCCAGAGTTTTATGAGGAGACTGGAGGGAAATGATAGGAAGAACCACAGTTTCTGGTTTTGAAGTTCGGTTGTGAACTGAACACCGAACACAAACACACTCCCACAGACATGGCTGGTGTATCTAGTTAGCTCATAGCTAACGTCTGTACAATTGGTACATTTGCTTTTTGGCTTGACTTATTACAAATAGACCAGCGGTCAAATTCATGGGAATGACACAAGGCAAAAAATTTGCTTCACTTTATGTCCGAACAAGCATTTACATTTAACACACAGACACGGCAGTGGTATCAATATTCGCATCAAAATCTTGGCAAGAAAGCAAATGAGCGTATTCCCAAAATGTGGAACTACTCCTTTAAAACAGGCACATGTTTGCCACTATATACAACAGAATCACAGCCTATATCGTATCCACACACACCCTGCTCTCCCCTCCTCCTTCTACAGTGTTCTCCACATCACCAGGAGATGACAGACGCGCCCCAGTATCAGATCTAGAGGCTGTAGGCAGAGAGAGAGAGGCAGCTGACGCTGGAGCAGCTCCATCACTCTGTGTTTTTCTCTGCAAAGCCAGGCCGCCCGGCGTTTAACACACTCCCTCTGGGACACGCTCGATAACTCACAGTCCGGGAAATGCAGCTGAATACCAAATGAAAACAGAAGTTCCCTTTGTTTTATTAACTGTTGTTATTATCAGCACCTCCAGGTACCCCGCTTTCCCCTGACAAATCGGCAGCCATGTCGTTATTTAGGTGGAGGAAAAGGAGAAAAACGTCAGACTGCCACTGCAGCTCTGTAACAGTTCATTTTCTCTGTAATGGATGTGATGTTTTTGTTTAACTACATATTAGAAGCTGTAGACATACATGATGAAGTCTTCAGTGTATGTGTAAATACATGAAAATGTACCGTGTGTTTGCATTTGCAGTGGAACAAGGTAACAAGCCACTCAAGCACTGTATTTTATATTTGAGGTACTTGTACTTGGGTGTTTCAATTTTATGCCACTTCTCTGCTCCACTACATTTATGTGACAGCTTTAGTAACTGGTTACATTACAATTTAAGATAAACTTAAGATATATTTATAATTTAGTAAGTGTTCACATGTTTTGTATGTAAATCTGAAGTCATTACAGCTGTTAAGTAACTGGAGTAGAAATATACAATAGCATAAAATGGAAATACTCAAGTAAAGTCCAAGTACCTAAAATTGCACTCAGGTACAGTACTTGACTAAATGTCCTTTACCACTGAGTAAAGCATCAGAATACTTCTTCACCACTGTGTATTTGGATGTGTGGCATGTGTGAGCAGGAAGTGGAGAGTCTGCTGTATCCAGCTGACGCGACTACAGGAGCGGTGGCAGCTATTAGATTTAGCAGCCCTGACATCACCCCGGCCTTGGATGTAAAGGAGTACTACTGCCAGCTGGCTGAGAGCCTCCAGGTACGACACACTGTAGCACAAAACACATAAACATGTCATGAATTGGAAGCCTTTTTGTGCTGAATGCTTTACAGCAGCATGCCTGTGTACAGTTTTAGAATCATAGTCCTATTTCTGGCTTACGATGCGCTCACACGAGTGGACTCAGACAAAACCTCATACACACCAGTAGTGGAAAGTAAGTATTTGCTTGAGTACAGTTTTAAGGTACTTGTACATTGAGTATTTCCATTTTGTGCTACTTTATACACCTACTCCGCTAGATTTCAGAAGCAAATATTTTATCTGTTATCTGACAGCTATATATACTAGTTACTTTTCAGATGAAGGTTTTGAATTAAAAAAAATGTGATAAGATAATAAAATCCATGTTAAAGATTAAACCAGTGGTGAGCTTGTCACGTTTCAAATGTCTGTATTCAGGCAAAAGAAAATGGCAAAAGAAAAATGGGAATGTGCATTTACATCCACTAGTGTCGCAGATATTCAGAGTTGAGTGCGACAAGATCAACAGCTGTTGGTGCTAACTTTCCAGTTGGATGCTATTAAACCATTTCTGAAGAAAAGGGCACAATGAAATTACGTAATTAGAAGTGTGAGTCAAACCCCAGATGGTGGAAAACAATGCAGAAAACAAGGTGGAAATATGAGATTTATGTTTGTTTCATGTTTTTAAAGTCACACAGATCTGATGTTTTTGTCTGCTGCTATTAAGTCTCTCCAGTAGATGTTTAAGTCAAATGTGTATCAGGCTTAATTTGCTAACTCTGTTTATATTGCACTTGCAATTTTCTTGCAACATTTGGACTTTTATCTGACATTTCCACTCAGGTGTTTTAAACACAAATTAAAATGGTATAAAAGCCGGTGGATGAAAACGCACATTATGAGCTGTTAGTTGCACCAAATATGGTTCCAAAACTTTGAAAATTATTCAATATTTCACAAAAAAAATAAGATTAGAGAAAAGTCAGAAAAATCAATACGATACAATTTGTGTAGCAGAACTTTTCTTTTTCTTCTTTTTTCTCCCATTAATCCTCCAACAAGCCCTTAGATTTATGTTGTGACTCTTTGGAAGGGACTCAACCCTTAGATTGAGAACCACTGGACTACACTTTCACATTTGCTCTGCCTCCACTAGTTAAAACAATTTAATTTCACTTACACGTGGATGCATCGGTATTAAGAAACCAATAATGTAACATACTGTATGATAATATATCAGTCACACGATTACTTTAAGTTTATTTGTACCTAAAATAATCTGAGTACTTCTTCCACCACTGATACACACTATCCAGAGCTGCCATCTTCATCCTCCTACTGACCACTGGATCTCTCCTATTTTCACCACGTCACCCTCTCTCCCTCTGAAATGTCCCGGTCGGCTCCAGATGTAAATCTCAGCTTTCACAAATCACACAACGATACTCCCACTTGTTTTCTTTCCCTCTTAACACAACACCAGGGAAGAACTTGAGAATCAGAGCTGCAGTTATGAACCTGAACAAAATGCTTTTGTCTACCTGTGTGTGTGTGTGTGTGTGTGTGTGTGTGTGTGTGTGTGTGTGTGTGTGATTGTGTGTGTGTGTGTGTGTGTGCGTTACAAGCGCAGAGGTGCTGCATTGGGGTCAGACTATAGCTCCGTCGGGTCACACCCCCTCTGGGGCGAGGATGTCTGTCCGGTCCAGAGGTCAGGGTTGTAATCAGACTGCTGGCCGCCTTCCCAGGCTCCTCTGCAGCAGTGGAGTGGACTATGTGTGTGTGTGTGTGTGTGTGTGTGTGTCTGTCCCCTTCATTTGGAGTCATGGCAGAAGGGCATATTTATATATTTGTTTGTCTGTCTAGATACATAGGTGTGTTTCTTGTTCCCCCTGAACCCAGTCTATTTACTCTCTCTCCCTCTGTCTCACTCCCACTCTGTCTCTTCTCTCGCCAGCTGGACACCGTCCTGTCTGTGCCTTGCCTCGATTATGAGACGCAATTGTCTTGATGCTAAAATGATTGCTATTGGGTTTGAACAGTAATGGTGATTGCTGGCTGACTCCCACACACCTGTGCACCCTCATGTTGCTCATTTCAGCTACACTTGTTCCATCTAATCAGGAATGTGGCGTACACAAGGAGAGGTTTAACCATCAGCCAGTATGAGAGGCTCTGATTGTTCTTTGCTCCCCTGTCGAAGTGCACTTAACTGCCCAAAAGAGAGCTCTATCCCCCATGGTCTTTTGCAGACTGAAAATGAAAGGTTTTTATACCTACCAACTTTTCACGAATGCACTGACTCCTCACCGTCTGTCTTTGCAGTACAAGTGTGGTGCAGCCCCCTCTGCTGTGGCTCTCCGTGGTGACGGAAAACAACTGGAAGTGGGGGAAGCTGTAGGGTCAGCAGACAAAGACTTACCAAAGACCAAGAACATCAGTGAGATGAAGGTGCAGGTGAGTGGACGTGGACGATGTTTTAATCACTGTTTAAAGGCTGAGTTCACGCAAATTACGCTTACATCACATTAAGGCAGATCTGGGTTTTGGTTTTTTTTGCCAAGATATTGAGGTGATTTCTTTCTCACACACCTTCCATATCCCAACAATATGTCAAAAGAGAGAAGGAAGAAAAAGAAACCAGCCCTAAATGTCGTGCAAGTTGTGTGTACAAGCAGCTGGTTAGCTTAGCTTAGCACAAAGACTGGAAACAGTGAGAAGCAGCTAGCTAAGTTCTGTCAACCTACCAGCACCTCTACTTCTCACTAAATAACACATTACAAGTTGTTTGTTTAAAGCCATTCAAAAAAAAAAAAACATGATGCAAAAACAACAAGTTGTGGTTTTATTTATGTTAAGTTAGCTGGCTGCTAGTAGCTTTATATTTACTGAACAGATATGAGAGTGGATGATCTTATCCAGCTCTCTGCTAGATAAGCAAATAAAGCTAACAAGTCAAATAAGTCCATGTCAAATTATTGCTTGAAGACACACTGTAGTCCTTAAAAACCATTGACCTGTGAAGTTGTAAGTGGTATGAGGTTTATTCAGAGAAGTTCGGACGATGTGTCTTGAAAGAAATGTAATTTAATTGTTTAGATGTAATGTCTCAATGCTATGAGCACCACAAACAAAATTGCTGTTGGAAGTATAAATCTAATCAAATGAAAACAAAATCGTCTGCATGGCTATTTACAGCTACTGCTAAGTGACCCCTTAAGTCTCACGTTTATACGTCATTTAAATCCCTCAGTTGCTACCTACTGATTCAGATCTTCCCATAATACGTCTCCCACCTCTTTACCGACAAAGAAAAGAGGAGTCTTGCAGCCCACAACTGGCTCTGTGTCTGCCATCAGCTCTTAAATCAGACATAATGGTGCAAATGAATGGTTTCCCACAGTAGGCCAGGGGAGTGGAGAGCAGCTGAGTGACAGCAGAGCAACAGTGTGGGAGATCCTGCTGACCAGAGTGTTTACTCTGCGGACACTTTCAGCAGGAGATGTGAAGGGCTCGACTTCAGCTCAGACAGGATTTATTGCCCTCCGTGTCCTCAGTTATTAAGTACAGTCTTTCAGAGCGGCTGCAGCATCATAAAAGTCTTAAAACTTCACACACACACTGACTGGAGACTTCCTCTGCCAATGGAGGAGAGGAAATAGACGGATATTTCTCATCCAGCCAGGAGAAAAATGCCTTGAAAGCAACTGGACTTTGAACAAAGGACACAGCAAAGTGAAGCACCAGGAAATTATGACTCAGGTAAAATCACAGAGTGACTCCAGTAAACAGAAACTACCTCCTCTTAGTTCACATTCGTCTCTCGAACATCCATCAGTGGTCAGACCGCAGCTGACACCTAACCACATCTGTAACAAACATGGTGGTTTGGTTCTCATTACTGCGGCTGTGGCTCTACCTCCAGCTCTTTAAATAAACAGGGAGCCTCTGTAGCCGCAGCAGAGCTCTCCCAACATCATCTACCTTTCTCTAACATGCAGCACACGAGCCCCAGCTCTGCTCAATCCAGCCTGACGGATGGACAGCACGGCTTGATCTGCTCTGTTTCCTCTCTCGCCTGTGATGGATGCCTCGGGTCTGGTTTCTCACTGAGACACAACATGGCCAAACAAACAGACTGCGGTGAAATCAGCCCTGACGCAAAAAATGTATATAATGGGGCAGGCACCGATGGGGTTGTACGCCACTACTCCCCTACACACACACACACACACACACACACACACACACACACACATGGCCAAGCCTCACTTATCATGCCATTGAGAACGGAGGAGTGTGTGAGTTAAGTGACTCGACCAGGTTAGGGAGTCGTCATCAGCCTGCGAGTGGTGACTGGCCGGCTCGCTGAATGACGAGCAGGACCGCCTGGATCCCCATCTGGCTGTGACAGCTAATTGTTGAATCTGTGTGATTCCTGTAATTACTCACGGCAGGACACCACAGCCTCAGACCCCGGGGAGGGAGGCTCCTCAGTTAGCTTGTGGTAGAAGTTAAGTAACCTGTTTTATCTGTGTTGGGCGTAAGAGCTCAATATCTCTTGCTTTTGTCTATATAATATTGATAAAATCACTTTGTGATCATCACCTGATTTTGCAGTTCCACTCTCTTTGTTCGCCTCTTTTAGTTCATTGTTTTTTTGTTTTACAGCCCAGAAATTCTGCTCTTATCATCCATGTTCCCAGCAAAATGAGTTAGACAGCTGTTAGCGAATAACAGTGAGGAAAAACCAAATATCTGGCAGCTAACTCTAACCCTAATATCTAGCTAAATGAAGAGTAAACATGGGAATTACAGTTGTCAGGTGGCCTGAAACATGACTGAAATGAACGCTGCTCTGTGTCTGCTGGACGTTGCTGAACAGTTGCTAATATGTTCGCTATCACCACGACAAGTTGAACCTCGCCAGATGTTGGGGTTTTCAATTATCAGCATATGCAGAAATCAGGTTTAAGGACAAGTCTATTGTTAAACCGGAGTGCCCAGGTTCATGCACTCTTTAGCAGGAACCCTGAACGCCTGCCAACTCCAGGGCTGCTGCTCTGAATACGACCACGAAGGGATCGATTTTATAGTCTGGCATCTTTACATTATTACTAACAAGATAATTAAGCAGAGATGTTTTCTGTAAGTCAGTTTCAGGCAGTGGTGGGTATATTTTAAAAGAATTACCTCTGTTGTCATGTGTTTCTGTAGATTTCAGAGCTGGAAAAGGAGCTTGCAGAGCTCGAGAAGTGTAATGAGGAGCTGGAGGACGAGATTGAGATGAAGAAGGCTGCATACATGGACGAGATTGCTGAGTTGGAGGTATGAGAGTGGACTGATTAATGTAATCATAGGCTGTAATGGACCAGTGGTTTGGACTAATAATGTCATTTAATCTCATCCACTGTGTGTGTGTGTGTGTGTGTGTGTGTGTGTGTGTGTGTGTGTGTGTGTGTGTGTGTGTGTGTGTGTGTGTGTGTGTTATTCAGTGTACTATAGATGAAATGCAGCACCAGGAGGCCGACCTGGAAGCGCAGATGAAGGAGCAGTGTGAAGACTACAAGGAGCTGCTCAGTGAGAAGATGGCCAGAGACATGGAGATTGTTGCCTACAGGTTAGAGACTCTGACAGTCTTTCCTGTTTGACTGAAGCTGCTCTGAATTATAGATGTTCTGGTCTTCACAACTCAAAAAACTCAAAAACTACACACACAATCAGATACGTTTGCAAACATCAAAAGTGAAGTGCAATTCTGAGGTGCTTGTTCTTCACTTTTATACTATTTTAGACTTTTGTACTTTTTACTGCTATACAGTATTTACAGTATCTGATGGCTGCAGTTAATAGTTACTTTTCTGATTAAGATTTTATAAGAGCTTATAAAATATGACGCAGTGCTTTCATATTAAACTAACCAGTAGTGTATAAAATACCTAAAATTGGCTTCATATTGACAATTTACAGCATTTAATAATAGTATTCAATGATTTTAGTGTATTAATAATATTATAACACACTGAAAGATGTGTTTCTGCACAATGAGTACTTTTACTTTAGCTACTGTGGGTACTTTTTGCAGGAAATACTTTTTTTACTTTTACTGGAGAAACATTTTGAGTGCAGGATATTGTGCAGTATTGGAATATTTTTCGATGATAGTATTTCCACTTTAACTTAAATAAAGGGCCTGAGTAATTTGAGTTAAAAAAAAGCTGCAGAAATGACAAAATTGGATTATTACATCTGACCATATTACCTAAAATATACTGCACTGCTCTTTGTTGTTGTAGGTTGGTGTGCAACATCATGTCTCTTAGATACTGTAAATTGTTTAACGATGGGAAGATATAATTGATTCTTACCTCCCGGGACTTACTTTATGGCCATAATTACATTTTAATTTAAAGACCTAATATGCAATAATAGACCATGATGTATTGATCACTTTTCTTTTGCACATTTTGTAATAAAGAGCCGCCATAAATGCAGCCATTACAGTGATTACTCCATCATCATCTTAATTTAGCTGCAGGTTGTTTTTCTTAAATGAGACCCCTAAAATTTAAGCACACACCTTATGCTTTGTACAATACGATATAATAATACCAGAGACATAAGAAGACTTTGGGCAAATGAGGTCTAATTTGTGGTGAGGCTGTCGGTCAACAGGATGACCTGAACCAGCACTCTGGGGGAGGGATGCTCAACCTTGTCTGATGGACAACATGGAGGTTTTCATTCCAACAAAAACACTAAACTAAGTGACTTCACTGATTAGTTTGTCTTCTCCTGTTAAAGGTGCTGTCGTTTCTGATTGCAATTAAAACCTATAGACTCGGAGCCTTCCCTGACATACTGTATATTGTAGATTCCCATCTTTGCAGTAGGGGGTGAAATGAAAACAGACGTCCCCTACGGTGCTCGATAAAGTGCCAGACATTATTTAAACCTGTCGAGGAGAATGAGCTGTCAGGGGCGAAGCACGTAATGGTCCTGGGATGATTTCATTAGATTGAAATCAGCTTGATGCTCTGTTTACGTTTTGACATTCTTTACATATGAGCTAATCTTAAAGTGCACAAGAAAACACAGGTGGAAATGTGCAAATGACGTGTCACCGTCCGTCCTTCATCATCAACAAGAAGTCTCTACAAAAGCATCACTGTGAATAATACAAGGAGTATTTCCGCAAGAGCCTGTGTATAAGCCCTGTATTGTCCAAGCATCTCATATAGTGTCACCTGGACATCCGCAGTGTCTGTAATGAGGTATTTCTGCAGACAAAGGGCTGACATCAGGGGTCAGAGGAAACAGCTTCTGAATCTGATGCAGTTTCCTGTATTTGACCTTGAAGATGTTTCATGCCATTCCCTCTGTTCACTGAGGTTGTTTAACCATCTGCCATCCTGGTATGTGGAGTGACGCACTTCAGCCGTCTCAGCCCGCTGCCGTGGACTTCCTCCTGCGGGCCTCCATCGCCCATCCGACTGCATGTGACCCCCCGGGGGGCCCTGCTGCAGGCCCGAGCTCAGACCCTCACAATGCCTCATTAGAATGGGCAAAGAGGACCTCACACTGTCAGCGCTGTGTGCTGGTCCTCTGCCAGCTCTTCTCCACGCCAGCCTGTTAATGTCAGCACCCCCCTCAGTTACACACATTTCCAAATTCGCCACAGTTTTAATTCCCTCTCGTTACCCAACAGACTGTCCCAAAGACATTTAAGGCGCAGGAAAGGCACACAGTCAGTGCCAACTTTTTTTCCTCCCTCTCTTCATTTACCGGGTGTTTTGTCATCCGTGATTAAAACCATGAATAAGAAATGAAAATGGTGGTTGTTTATTCTCTCCGTGCCGTGGCAAACTGTCTGCACAACAGACCCTAATGACCCCAGGCTGCCATTACCGGGTGGCTTATGGCCTGTGAAAGCATCTCAGAGCAGTTTGTGCAGATGCGCGCTGCTTTTGTTCACCGCTAATGTGAACCATATTACACTGTAATTCATTCAATGGGGTCTGCATGACACAGCAACAAGTAGCTCAGCTGAAGACAAGATCCATTTTAGTTAAGTGTACATTTAGCAGTGGATGACTGTCGGGCCTGTTTTAAAGCTGTTATAATCAAACGTTTTTTAAAAAATGAGCTTTGTATGAACTTTCAGCTCATTATTTTTGTTTTTCTGGCCTCTCACCGCCGGTTCACTCTCACTGCTCTCATTACTAGTGTTTCCAGATGCAGCAGGCAGATGTTTTCTGTGAAATTGCTTTAAAAACCTGCTGTGTTGGACTTCCGGATAGCATAACAGCAGCATAAAAAGAGAGCTCCCTGACACTGAGATGTAAAAGCCCTGTGCAATCAATAGTTTAACAAGGATGGGATGTTGTAAAATTTTATTTGAAAGGGCATTGATTATGACGAGAGGAAAACAAAAGAAACTGACTGAAAAAGTGGTGTTAATTGCCCAGGAAGACGGTGTGCAAACTAAGCTAGCGACAGAGCCGACTAAGCTAGTGGGAGAGACGAGACAGAGCACACAAAGCGTGGCAAACCTGGAACCAATTTTACAGGAGGTGAGGGTTGAGACTGTGGTAGAGAATATTGATAACCAGTGAATTATTTGAGTTATTCCTGAAGCAAAACGTGTTTCTTTGTCTTATATGATAGTAGTTTTTTTTTCATTTTTCCCAGTTTTACAGACCAAACCTAAACTAAACTTTGTTAATGAAGTGGTTAATTGATAGAATGATCTGCAGATTCATTGATACTGAAATAGCTAATTGCTGTTTGCAAAGTCAAGATTAAACTCTAAACCTCAACAATGTTCTGTCTCTCAGGTAATCCTGGACTACAGCTGAGTGGCAGCACTACCTGCTCACCTGTACTTTGTGTGTTTATTTATTTCTGTGGTTCAGGAGTCTGGTGGAGGAAGAGGAGGAGAGGCTGTGCAACCTGTGAAATGAGGCTGAAGAGTCAGACTGGGCGGCCGGGGTTTGGCTGGATGCTCCCCTCCCACACATGGATTAGAAAAGCAGACAAAAGAAAAGCATGAAAACCAGACACAAATCAGCACTAGGATGAAGCTTAAGGTACCAACGCAGCAATTTGAGCAGATGTAAACTTATCATGACAGATTAATGCTGTCTGGAGGCCTGAGCCGGGCCATTGATAACAGGTCACTGGCGGACGACCCCGAGACTCTCAAGAACGATGGAGCTGTCTAAAACTGGGAGGGAGGTGGGAGGATGAGGGCTCCGCATTGAGTGTGTATCCATTCAGTGTCTGGCAGTGATATTTCCTTAAGTGGGTTTTTATCTTCACCAGCTCACTGATATGTTTCATAAATGTTGTCCCCTCTTTGTCGAACAAGTCTCAACACACTAACACACACACACACACACACACACACACACACAAGCTAACGTGTGCGGCTCCGTCAAGTCATTCTCCCTCTGATACCACCTCGTCCATCACCCAAACTTTGTCTGATTACCAGCTCTTAACCCTTGACCCCGTCACTGTTAACAAACATATTGATATCCTCTCCTCACTAACTGAAAGTGTCTCACCGTCCTTTTGCTTTTACAGTGATGCGTTCATGTTGGTTTTACATAAAACTGTGTTTGCTTTTCAAATGGTTCATGAAGTTGTTTTTCTGCAGCTCTTACAAACCGGGCACCTGGATCTTTCTACAAGAAAAGCCTGTGTGATTCATTATTCCTTCTTTGAAAAGCAATGTCCCAATTTGCTGTCATTTGAGAAATAAGCTTTTGGTATTACATTCCTTCGTAATCTTTTCCTTATTTTCTACGATCTGTCTGTGATAAATCATTTCTGCTTCCTGCCTCTGCACAAGTGTCAGAATGTGCTTCAGATTTAAATTAAATAAAACTAGTTGCATGAGAGATCACCTCATACTGTGCGATTTCTTTTCTCGGTTTCATGAGAACGGCTTGTGAATCCTAGAGCTTTAAGACTTTCCCCGCGCTTTAAAACGATGCACAGAGCGGAGTGATTTATGTTCAGTGATCCTTCTTTCACTCATCTTCATGCTTAACTTGAGATTTGAACATTCCTAGCTATTTAATGATCTCAAAGGCTTGTTAGCTCTGCCGTAAAGATGAAAAATGCTGCTAATAACGGATCAGATAAGATTAGCCACACTCAGTGAACTTGTGCTGATGAGGAGTTAGCCTCTGTAATAATTGAGTTCAGTGTCTGGAGAAGGGGCCGGGGCTCGGTGGTCGCATGTGACTTGTTTAATTGTCCCGACATGAAACATGGCCGGCTCAGCAGGAAGCTGCTGTGTCTGTTTTCTCAGGACTGCAGAGCTCAATCAAGACCCAGAGGAGAGGAGCTGGAGGACGTTGTTTTCCCTCAGTGCTTAACTCTGTATCTCTCAAATCAAAAGCCAACAGACCACACGGAGTTCCTGATCCCATGTGGCGGCACCGTCTTCACCTTGTGGCAAATATGATGAATATGAAATATCTTACGAAAATATCTTAACAAAAAAAAAAATAAGAGAAAGGAGAATAAATGTCTTGTGATAAGAGCTGTGTTTTCCTGGTTAATTCTCTGTACTAGAATAAATAAAAAAACACCTAAATATAAAATAATATTCTCAAAAAATACAAAGCAGTGAAGTAAGTAATGTATTGGAAATCACACAATATCTATAGAAACATTCATTCTCCTAAATTAGACCAATACAACATTGAACACCCACAGTACAACATAGCATGACAAAAAGCTCATATCAGCCTATCAGGGTGTCGAGATCGAGACTCTCATAAAAAGCAGAAACTTAGATGTTGAATGATTTGTGTTTGGATTTGGAGCGTTGGTATTTCCAGCTTCTTTTATAACACAATTGAGTATTTCAAAGACTCTTGATATTTGCGAGTGTGGTGACCCCTGCGCTCCTCTGTGTTCCTTTGCCCCCATCACACGTCCTTGACAACTGAGAAAAATGCGCGTTAACCCCTCAAAGCTGGCCGGTGACATTGAGTGGCCCGGGGCAGGACTGTGGCACCTTCGCTCCTTGAAGCTGGACAATTTGATTTGAGGGCAGAGATTTTCAAAGCTGAGTCATGGATCAGTGGTCAGCCAGTGCTTTGGCTTTTCATCCCACTTTTTTTCTTTTCTTTTTTTGCCTTGATGGTTTCTGTGGAAGAGAGGGGGGGGGGTTGAGAGAGCTGCAAAAAAACCCAAAAAACTGACCAACAGCAACAAACAAAGAAGTCACTGCTGGGATTAAGTGAGAGTTTGGTGCCTTTGGTGTGAGATTGATTGTTTCAGTATTCAGTTCACTGTTGCTGAAAGAAAACCATTTTTACACAACATATGCTGTGGACATAACATCCCATTAACTTCACATGGTGCAGGAATGTCCTTACATTAAGAGTGGCAGGGTCAGGCTGATAAATTATGACATCTGAGCTCATTGTATCAGTCGACATATCTTCAATCTGAAGCAGTGGAATCTGATTAAGGCCTGAGGTAATGCTAACCCAGGTCATCTTGCGTGGCCCAGCTCACATAGTTATACCTAAAATACTCTTATCCCAGCAGGTTCACTCAGACAAATAAACACTGCCTTCAATGAGGACAAAAGTAATTTTTTAAAGTCTCTTCATGACAGCTTGCATGTAACGAACCAAGCTGGTGTTTAGAAAGCAAATAAATAAGAGAGGACGGGGTTGAATCAAGGAAGAAAATAAGAACAGTGAAAATATACAAAGGAGAAAGAGCTATTGAGAAAGTATTTCCTTAACAAGAGGGGAACAAATAATAAATTATGGGGCCCCTCTCCCTTGAGGCAGGACTGGCACGCCTGAGGGTAGCAGGAAGTGGGCATCCCTCTCTTTTTATAGGGGTCACGGACAGACTTCAACTGTGGGAGCATCACAGGAGACAGAGCCCGAGTCCTGAGAGAAAACTGCTTAACGAAATGTTTACACACACACATACACACACACACACACACATACACACACACACACACACACACACACACACAGACAGTTTATATGCCTTGCAATGCTGAATGAAGATGGTGGTAGTGTGACTGTATAACCCCCGGGTCCCCCATCATGTCATCGCTGTAGTTTTCTGCCCTTCTCATATCTGTAGTCCCACTTGGTCCGTACAACTGAGAGTCTGCTGACAGCCGTGACCCCACATTCACCCCGCGCTCCCCCTCACGTCAGTCCCAAAGCAGGTGGCAAGCACCACCAACACGAGACTCCTCATCTTGATCCGCCATCTATGTGAATTTGTGATACCTTTATTTCTTGGCAAACACTTCACTACCTTGTCTTGTGATCAGGAGATAAAGCAAGGCAGCTTTTTTTTTTTTTATTTTAATTTCCCCAAACTCCACACAGTGTGTTAGTCACGGCCAAAGTTGATAAAAGTTTCCCTTTTGTCCCAAAGTGTTCAATTAATCAACTTCACAGGGTGTGCTGGATGGAAGCGGATAAAAGTCTGGGCTACAGGGAACAGGAGAAAAAAAATAGCCAGCATTTGTATTCTGCTGCAGTGGCTTTCATACCCATTAAAGGATGTTAGCATTTTTTGAGCATAGTGACTTTATTGTCAGCTTAGGGCTTACACAGATCCAACCATTTGCTGTATTGGATTCTTGGCAGAAGGCCTGCGTGGATCTTGGCCACCCTTGAATTTATTTCTCATGTTAAGCTTCACCTTGTCAGAAAAATGGGCTGCTCCCTGCACTTACCAGACGTATAGGAACATATGCTTTGGTTGTAATGTTTGTTATCAGTTAGACAAAAATCATATCGCACGGTTGCTGCAAGAGGTCTTCCCCACTGCTGTAGCACTTATACTGGTGATTCCTCTGGAATTTCTCTGCTGATGGATGTTATACTTATATTATAAGATAGTAGACTTTAAGTGCATTTTCAGACCACCATAATAGCCCTCAATTTGACATAATGTACTGCAATATACTTGTATGTAGATAAAATTTGGCGAAAACATTTATTTTATTTATCTGCATTAACAGAGGTTTTGGCCACTCGGGAGCAGCGGTACAGAGTGTAAACGCTGACATTATCAACTTGTTATGGTGAACATGTGTTTCTGTACATCTGATGAATATAAAGTATGTCCAGTATTCACTCTCACGCCAACTCCTGAAGAGAATATCTGGAAGTATCTTCAGCTGCTAAACGCTAGTGCTAATGTGTTGCTAACTTTGTGGTGCTGGGCAGGTAGTGAAGTGTACAGCGGGTTTATCAGTAGGTTTTCACTGAAAACAGCTGTTCAAAGCAGCGGGACTGAACTAAAATAATAAAGTTGCGGTTCCACAAAACCAAAACAACAAACTGAAAGAAGCTGAATTGCTCCATAGAGCTGAAGGGAACTGCAGATAATTATCTTTTCATCAGCACAAGCAACAACTTTCACATAACACATAGACATTTGACCCCATTCTTCATATAGAAATATTGATAAGTGCAGCTTCATATCATTAAAAGCTCTCCTGTTTGGATTGAAAATGCTTTGTTTCTCTTGTGAAATGTCAGAGTCGATGAAAACATTATTCCTGTTACCATCCATTGATTCATTTCAGCCCACAACCAATTCCTCTTCCTGTGGCTCAGAGGACTTGGAGCCAGAGCACCAGTAGTCCAAACTATCATAATTTGTGCTGGGAATAAGAAATCACATGTGCCACAGTTTAAGTCTGCAGTCGTAGCCTGGAGCAATGGCTGGTTTAGAATTTGGAACAAACTACGAAATCATTTTCTTTTTGCACCAGTCATTCATCTTTTTCCCAGACACCCAGACATCTCAGGCCTGCTTCCTCTCAAACTGACATTACCTGCAGGTAAGCAACATTTTCCATTCTTGGATCACATGTAGGGTTTTTTTTTTTTTACCTTGTATTTCAGCATACATTAAAATGTAATCTGCTTGTACGTTGACATGAGTTCCAGATTTCGAATTGAAACATGTCTTATTTGACAAAAACCTTTCAGTGTCATGTAAAGGACAACAGCATATGGGCACAATTGAGATTACTTTGTGATGTTAAGTTTGATTCTGCAACATTATTTGCAATGGGTGTGACACCTCAAATAAATACTCCTTATCTTTGTTGTATTCCAATTTAAAGTAGACTCTTTGCTCAGCTTGTCTCCTGAAACCTTTCTTCATAAGTGACCATTAAATGGATGGGTGCGTGTTCAGCCACCAGTGAGCCTCGGTAGAGCTACCACAGGGCTATATTGCCCTTGTGGCGTTTCACCTTAGAGGCTCACCAGAGAACCTGTCAGGCCTGCGATGTTTTACAGCTCAGTTTGCAGACAAAACACTTCACAACCAAATCCCCTCAGCAACATCTGCTGCCAATTTAGCTGTGGCATTCCTGCAGTCTGTGCTGTTTAATATTCACAGGGGTTAGGATCTGCCAGGACAGGGTTGGATGGGGATGGTGGGGAGGGGCAACCAGTTTCTACAATCCTTTGGTCCGTGGTCCAGACATGGTGAAAAATGAGGGGTTAACAAAGAGTGAACTGGAGCAGGAGCGGGTTAACTGGGCTAATTTGCAGGGATAATAATGGTGTTCATGCAAGGCCTTTTGGGAGTAGCGGTGTGGAACACAGACCTGACGGTGCAACCACACAGGAAGTTTACAACATGGCCCGGCAAATCAGAATGTATTTAATCATCAAACAAGCAGTGAGGAGCTGGCAGCAAGGCCAGGGCCAGCAGCCATCCTGACGATGAAGACAAATGTTTGGAGAGGGGACTAGACAGAGAGCGCCAGATCTGCACCTCAAAGATTTCATGGCGCTGAAACCCC